GTGCAGCTCTCTTAGTTAAAATGAAACTAAAACCCAGTTCTCGGCTGCGCGGGTCACGTTGCAGATGCTCAGAAAGCCACCTCAGGCTCGTGGCTACCAGGTTGAATGTGCCGATAAAAACCATTTCCAGTGTTGCCGAAAGTGCGGCTGGACGCCTGGCTTAGGAAACTAGCTGTGAACTTGTTACCTCTCCTCCTCCCCAGATAACGGAGTTCTGGTGGGCTTTATTTCTTTTTCTTCAAATTATTTAATTCTGTGGTGCTCAGACTACCAGCTTAAGGAAGCAAATTAGGCTCAGTGACATTAGTTAAATCTTCCATGGTGGGTCCACCTTCTCGTTAATCCTATTCTGGGTTTTGATTTCAGTTACTCTTCCCGCCCGCTTACTGTCTCATCTGGCCTTTAGAGCAGCCGTGGCTTTGGGTCACACACAGGTGTTGTCTCAGCAGACTACTGGACTCACGGGTCTGACCATGGAGTTTGTGTGCCTCTCTGTTTGGGTTCAGGGTTTAAAGAGTCTCTCAGAACAATTGTCCGGGAAGTCTGGACTCAGTCAGAATTTGAGCTCTGTTCTGCATTGTACCCACACTCCATCGGGTCCATGAGCACCCTGTGTGTTTTTTATCACTGTTGTGGTAGGATTTTTTTTTTTGTTGGAAGGCACCCCGATGAAACTCAGATAAGCATTTGACTGAGAACTTGTCTACGGCCACCCACCTATCACAGAGACAGGTGTAAACACTTCGTTTGGCGTAAACCCGCATGTGTGTGGACTAGAGCCCTAGAGACAATACTTTTGAACGTACCTCGGTCACGTGCATAGGTAAGATACTGCTGTCTGCGCACAGACGAGACGTGTGCAGGGAATCTCACAGAGAGCGTCCTGGCCAGCTCTACTCCGAGGTGTGCCACGGTGCCTGGCCGTGTCTGCAGCAGGGGTGGTCACACAGCCGAGTCCTTTACACCTGCTGGTTAAATGGCCTGGTTTTCATTTCCTCAAAAGTCATTCAGAAAGGCATCTAGGTAAGCTGAGCTATGACGTGGGTGAATACTTGAAGAGAGGAAGGAAGGCTGTGGGGACTGGGGTTGAAGCACAAGGACCAGGAGATGCAAAGCCCTGCTGCCCCGCGAGCCTCAGCCAGCCCAGTGACCTCCCAAAGAGGTGTCCCTGCGAACAGGATGGGTGCTCTGCCCGGAGGGGTGTGGGCTGCAGGGCTCAAAAGCCCCAACCCCAAACCAGCTTCCAGGACAGAAACCCGCTTGCTCAAGTAACAGGAATCCCCAATCGCAGGTTCCGAGACAGTGAACCCGGTGTCTCAGCAGGGTCAGTGAGGACCCACGTTCCTGCCAGCTCTCAGGCCAGCCCTCTGGACGTGGGCATGCGCTTCATCCTTCAGCCGGTGGCTAGAAGGCTGCTTCAGGGCCCGCATTCCACTCCTGAGCTCCATGTCCAGAGAAATTAGAGAGTGTGTCCTTCTGTCACGAGCAAGCGGGGAAGGGTGGTTAACTACGTAATACCTCTCGAACAGTGGTTCTCAACCTGTGGGTCGTAACCCATTTGGGGGGGGGGGGGGGTGTCCAACTACCCTTTCACAGAGGTCACCCAATTCATAACAGTAGCAAAATTACAGTTATGAAAATAATTTTATGGTTGTGGGGGGGGGTCACCTCAACACGAGGAACTGTATGAAAGGGTCCCAGCATTATGAAGGTTGAGAACCACTGCCCTAGAATAAACCTCTGGAATAGCTGGCATAGGTTGTAAGGGTCCTGGTTAATGTCCATTATAAGTGTCACAACTTCTAAGCCCTTAGGCATCCCCCAGCCTCTTAAAACTTCCTTTAGCCTGCACTGATAAATACAGAAAACATGGGGTAAATTGCTTTATTATCAATGAGCTATTCTCATCATGCCTTAGAAATGCTCCTAGCCAACAGGAATCACGCAAGACAAGGAGCGTTTCTGGGATGGGTGCGGGGCCAAGAAGGAGAAGTCAGAGCGCTCACCAAAGACTAGTCCCAGTGTCCCAATCTTTGCAGCAGGCTCAAGCCTCGGCCCTCCGGAAATGCCCTCCTTGGCCCTAAGATTTAACCCCCCTCATTCCCCCTGGGGAGCTGAAGAAACCCTGGTTGAATTTGAAATTTAGCAGTATCCAGGCATTGTAATTTACCATGTAAATGGTATGTACTCCCCGGAAATCTGGAATCTTCAGCCGATCAGCTCTCTCGCTCGCTCGCTCTCTCTCTCTCTCTCTCTCTCTCTCTCCTATATAGACCTCACAGTGTGCCGAATGAGGTCACAGTCTAACGACAGCATTAACCCTGCAAATCTGTTCATTTTTGCCCGAGCACCCTCAGGCAGGATATAGAATGTGTCCAATTGAAAAACTATTACAGACTGCAGTGCTGTAATGGGCTGAAGGGTAGCAGGGAGAGGGTGTTTGTGTGTGTGTGTGTGTGTGTGTGTGTGTGTGTGTCCCAGAAATCATTATCTAACAGGAATTCAGGTAATATATATCACTTAAAAAGAGAGGTTATTTTAGGGCGGGGATGAGAAGAATGTGTTTTCTGTCACCCAGATTTCAGAAAGTTCAATGTTTCTAAACCATAACAATTTTAGATTTCCTACCAACTACAGTCTTTGCATTTCAGCCTTTTTTCCTTACCCAGTATCTCTTTAACACCTTCCCTTTGGGTTACAAACCTCCTTTTGGGGTGTTCTTGCATCGATTTTGCATTGTCAAATTTATACAGAAGGGTCTGAAGAAGAATGAGTGCAGAGAGCCCCGTGAACTCGCCACCCGATGCCAGCGGTGAGCCGTGAACACTGCGGTCCTGCGTGTGGGAAGCACCACACAGATGTTAGAACATTCTGTGCAAAGGCCCAGTCCCAACCCGACTCGGGGATGCTGAGTCCAGAAAGCCTGTGTGTGTGCACCATCATGCCTGGACATGTGCTTAATGCTAAGTAGTCTAAGAGTTGTGCCCCCAGGTAATTCCTAAAGCTGTTCCAGATCATAAAATCTAGGATGTTTTGCAAATTCATATTTTATCATGCTGGGTTTTGTGCACAAAAGCTCGACGATGCTGCCCCCCTCACCCCCCCACACACACTTTGTAATCTCCCTCAAAGGCAGTTTTCCAAGTCGCTTTGTTGTGCCTTATTGCTGGCTTCACCACACATTGTTTGCACGTCTGAAAGCAATCTCAGTCTAAATTATCAAGTAGAGACTATACTTGCATCTCTGTCTCCCAGCACTCAGCCATAAGTGCTATTTTCACTTATTTCTGCAATTGTAGCCTCTAAATAATGTGACCCCTTCATTGAGTGGCGGAGACTTGGCTTGTCTGTGGTCTGGGCACTAATTTGCAAGCAATTGACTAGATCGTGTTTGAACTATTTATACTGTATCCATGGAAAGGATATCATACTTTATTTTCTGAAGAATCCCCTTTCTGAAATGGGTTCTGGCCGCCACAGTGGAGTCCCCCTCTGCTCTGCTGCCTTACACTGCACCTCCATTCCGTGGCCGCGCACCTTGGCATCTGCCTGCCACCGTACCCCAGGGGAACTGGGTTTCTCCAAGAAGTTGCATGCGCAGAATAGCTTGCTGGTGGTTCCAAAGCATATACTAGCTGCTCGAGAGACTCCAAGTTCAAGGTTCTACAGGAAGACAACCAGGGAATAAGTAGACCAAGTCTGGGCAGATCATTTTAAAAGTCTGTGGACTGATAAGCTTGTCTGTAACCAATGGCATCCAGTCGAGTCTGACTCACAACAAGCCTCTAGGACAGGGTTCTCAACCTTCCTCATGCCGCGACCCTTTAATACAGTTCCTCATGTTGTGCTGACCCCCAACCATAAAACTGTTTTTGTTGCTACTTCATCACTGTCATTTTGCTACTGTTATGAAAGGGTCGTTGGACCCCCAGGTTGAGAACCGCTGCTCTAAGATAAGGTAGAACTAACTGCCCTTGTGACTTTCTGAGACAGCAGTTCTTTATGGGTGCAGAGCAGCTGGTAGTTTCAAACTGCTGACCTTGTGGTTGTCGGCTCCACACATAATCCACTACACCACCAGGGTTGCTCTGCAAAGTCACTTTAAGTATGGGAGGTGTGCCTCGTGTCCCTGATTGAAGGAACAAAGAATTTAGTAGAATGGGAAGCAAACGTGTGCAGCGCACAAGTGTCTTAAGCAAACCAACCTGACTGCCAGGGAGTCGACACTGAGTCACGGGCACCCTGCAGGACAGGGCAGCACTGCTCTGTGAGTTTGCCATGCTGCAACTCATCTTTCTCCTGTGTTATGGCTCCAGGGCTCCTTAAGGTCTTATTTATTCCATGTACAAGGTGGTGAAAGAAGCCCCAGTGGTGTAGTGGTTTATGTATTGGGCTGCTAACCACAAGTTGAGCAGTTCAAATCCACCACTTGCTCCAAGGGAGAACAGTGAGGCTTCCTGTTCCTATAAAGATTTACAGCTTCCGGGACCCTGGGGAGCTGTTCTTCCCTGCCCTATAGGGTCGCTATGCGTTGGAATCAACTTGATGGCAGTGGGAAGTTTTCCAAGAGAAGGATAAATCAAACATAGTTAGATATGTATTGCTTCAAATGTTGATCGTCTTTTCATTCAGAATGATTAGTATTTCTCCACATTGCCATTTGCCAATTGTTAAGGGCGAGAGCTCATTAGTATAATGAGCCCTTATAGTTTTCAGGATGATCTGAAATGAACATGAGTTTAACCCCTTGATTCTGAGCATGTCAAGTTTTCCCTTCGTGGTAAACTCTCTTTTTCTAAAATTCACTGTGCAGCCATTGCAAAAGCGTGCTCCCCTCCTTAATTTTATTACCAAATGAGGATTATTCACTACATTAATTGCATCGAATGTGGAATATAGCCCCTTCCTGTGGATCTTAATGTGTTCTTTAGACTGTACATGTCTCCTCTCTCCCACCCCCAAAGCAGAAAACATGTCTAAACTTGCTTCTCTCTCTGTAGGACAGTCGGCCCAATATGTCAAGACCTCTGATCACTAGATCCCCTGCATCTCCACTGAACAACCAAGGCATTCCTACGCCAGCCCAGCTCACAAAGTCCAATGCGCCGGTCCACATCGACGTGGGCGGCCACATGTACACCAGCAGCCTGGCTACCCTCACCAAATACCCCGAATCAAGGTAATCTGAAAACCACCATCCCCCAGCCGTGCATGCGTGTGATGAGCTTCCTTTGACAGGCGTTGGGGTTGGGACCGAGAGGCGCGGCATGGGGCTGCTGCACTGCAGAGGCTCTACTTGGATGCAACTGTCATTCTCTGTGAGTCAGGATCTGACCCCCAGCTCAATCAAGTGTGTGTAAAAATACCACGCCGGGTGGAGCTAGCTCTGTGATCTTTCCACACCACAGAGCTCTCTTTCTGTGTCTCATGTTTTTGTTTCTACCCAAAAAGGGGTGAATCCTCTCCCCTCTCCAGCAGCCCCTTTCTTCTGCCCTCATCCCTGAAAAGTGTGTCTTAGAGATGTGGATCATTTTATAGGCTATCAGTTGACCCACTGACTTGTGAACGGGGCAGGGAGCAGTTAGACTCTCATCGGCAGGCAGTATATTTAGAACAACATGCAAAAGTCCAGGAAACCAAGAGAGACCTGTTAACAAAAAAAGATTGGGCAGTGGGAGGAGGCATGGAGGGGTGGGAGGGTGAGTCTGGAAATTAAGAAGCAGCTCAAGCCCGATTAATAGCATATGAAGAGGAAGGGTCGTTGTACATGAACTTTATGAGGAGGGAGGAGGGTTTACAAAGAGACACTATAAATGTATGCCGGTGCGATATCCCCTCCCACCCCCCTTCCCGCCCATTTCCAAAGGCGGTCCAAAGAAATAATTTACTTTGCACCCTGGGACAACCCTCTTGGCTGGGCCCCAAGATTTGGGGGCTAGAATGGCATTTCTCTGTGCCAGCTGGGCTGCTGGGCGGGGAGGAGGCGTGAGCCCCTGTGGGCTGACTCCTCTGCTGGATTCTGCTCTTTGGGAAGTGAAGAGGCACTGCTTAGGCCGCAGAAAAGCAGTCGTTGTGGTTTTTAACCGTCTCACAGAGTGACAGATCGCAACTAACAGCCGGTACTGCCGACATAGAGGTCACAGTCACCTTGATCACCGCAGGAAGGCTGTTCCGTTTTTTCTTTTCTTCACGTGTTTTTATTCTACTTATTTACAGTTGACGAAACGATGGGAAGGTTGGGAAGAAAGATGAGATATTCTGCCTCTCGATTCCCAGGTTTAATTTGGGAAATGAAATCAAAATGAAATGGCTCTTTGAAAGAGTGTTTCTAATCAATCATGTATCTATAATGAAATCATCCTACCAGCCAGTTATAAGTATGACTGTGTTCTCACCTTCCCTGAGCACATTGTAAGAGATGCTGTAAAGTCATGTGATAGTGACAACGAGGTGAATAAATGGTGCTCTGAAAAACAACAAGAAAACGCCTGTTTCCATCCCTTCCGGCCCTCTGCGAAAACCAGCATTCACGGCAGAAAATCACTGCTGCCTCTTCAGACGGTCCCGTAATGCAAGAGGACAAGTCACAGAACGTGCATGAGAGTCAGAAAGCGTTTGCTCACATGCAGCAGGGTTCCCCTGGCTGGTGGCCTGTGGCTTCAGTTTGCTTGTTTGTTTGAAATAATAGGGGTGGTGGTGGTGGTGGTGTGTGTATGCCGTGTAAACGTGTACGGGACAAGACACTTGCCGGTACAGCCGGTTTTGCCTGTGTTCCGCATCGACACTGACGGCGTTCTTGGGGTTGTGCAGCCCTTATCCCATCCTTTTCTGGTCGGCTCTCCACCCTTAGCACAGACTCAGTTCTCCTGTCTCCAGTCAAGGAGAAGTCAAGCCTTACCTTCCTTGTGTGTGGCATTAGCAAGCGGTTTTCTTTTGGTCTCATTGCAACTGGTGGATGGGTGTCTCCCCCCTGAGGAATGGCCCACGGGAGTTTTTGCCCTGTGGAACTCTTTGGTGTCCCCTGACCTGTGGATAATGGTAGCAGGTGGCAGACGGGAGGCTGTACTTATCCTGTTGAAAATAATCTGCCCCTCCCATCATTCTGGTGCTGCGGCGCTGGAGGAGGTAAAGACCTCAAATTGCATCTCGTTTGGAGCGTCCTCTTTGGTCCCCGTCCGGGGCTGTTTCATGTGTCTACTTGTTGCTTGCTGTCCGCACCCTGCGATGGCCCTCAGATTACGTGGGTTTCAGTACTACCGATCGATACCGGCCCTGTCATAAGGAGCCGTCCTGGTGATGCTTTTCGGGTAAACGCTGTACTGCTCACTGCCAGGTCAGTGGTTCAAACCTACCAGCTGCTCAGCGTCTGCTCCTCTGAGGATTTTCAGCTCCGGAAACTCTCTCTGTAGGGTTGCCAGGCCTTAGAATGGTCAGCACGGCAGTGAGTTTGGTTGGCTGGCTGGTTGGGGGCTTTTTATGGTTTGCTTTTCTTGGCACACTCAGAAGTAGCCACATGCATCTATCGAGCACTTGAAATGTGGCCGGTCTCCAAATTGAAACATGTCCTTTAAGTGTAAAATTAACACTGGGTTTTAAAGACCTAGAGCGAGAGAGGGGAAAAAAAGGTAAACTATCTCAATAATGTTTTATGCTGTTGATGTCATGTTGGAGTGATAATATAGTAGATGGAATAAAATATATTAAAATTCATTTCACCTGTTTCTTTTTACTTTTGAAATATGGCACCTAGAAAATTTTAAATCAGGCCTGGATTTCATTTTGCATTTTTTTCAGATGGCCCTGAATGATACACAGATGTTTAAAAATCAATTTAATTAAGCCCACCCCTCCCCCAATGATGTGATACCGTGTATACCAGGCGTCCTCAAACTACCGCCCGCGGGCCACATGCAACCTGCCGAGGACATTTATCCGGCCCACCGGGTGTTTTGCCCCGTTTGTTTTTTTACTTCAAAATAAGATATGTGCAGTGTGCATAGGAACTTGTTCATTTTTTTTTTAAACTATAGTCCGGCCCTCCAACAGATCTGAGGGTTAGTGAGCTGGACCCCTGTTTAAAAAGTTTGAGGACCCCTGGTGTATACCATAAATTGAATTTATCTTTCACCAACTGAAGTAGAGCTGTTCATTTTCCTTTCCCCAACGTTTCCCTTTGATTCCTTGTCAGCAAGGGGCCAGAGTATCATGGAAACCAAAACGCAACCAAATCCCCTGCTGGGGAGTGGATTGCCCCTCAGAGAGACCCCAGAGGACGGAGTAGAACTACTTACTCCCTCCGGGTTCCTGAGACTGCAAATCTTTACAGGAGCAGACCACCTCCACTTTCTCCTGCAGCGCTGCTGGGGCATTTGAGCTCTTGACGTACAACACAGTCTGCCACCAGGATTCCTAGAGTATCGTGGAAGCAACATTAAAATAACCTTTCAGTTCATTCGTCCTGAGTTTAAATGCTGCCCCTGTGTTATTGTTTGGCCCTGACTAAGTCCAATTCCTGAGCATCTCTTCTCTCCTATGAAATAGGAATGGGTATAGAACCTCACAAGGTCGTCAGGATGGTTACATGTGATTATGGGAAGCGGGCCCCATAGGATTGCCTTCTATTCACCTTCTGCCAAACTCAGCCATGTTTTCTTTTCAAACTGCCTTTGAAATCCCAAGTATATCCCATTCCTTCCTATTCTAGACCAGGGGTCAGCAAACTTTTTGAGATGGCTGAGCCAATCCTGTCCCTCACAATTTAAAAATTACTCCAGAGCCATAAATAGGTTTTTACAAACTAATGAAATCACCATTAGTTGAATAATAGTTTTAGTTTCATTTTCAACTGTACTTCAGAGCCACATTTATGTGCTTTCACAACTGAGTTTTCCTTCCTCTGTCCCAGAGCCCTAGTGGGTAATGGTTACGAGTTGGACTGCAATCTGCATGGTGAGCAGTTTGAAACCAGCTCCCAGGGAGAAAGACTGGGCTCTCGACTTCCATTAGCAGTCGCCGTCTCGGAAGCCCATAGGGGGCGAGGAGTCAGTACTGACTCGATGGCAGTGAGTTTGCCTTTTGGTTTAGTCCTAGACCATGCCAACAGCCTTACTTTGGGGGTCTTGCCTGGATTTCTATAGTCTCAAGAGACTGGTCTCCTGATGTGGTGGCCTCTTCTTTTATGTTAAATTCCCCACCCAGGTGGCCTTGACTACCCACACCACAGACCTGCTCTGGAGTTCCAAGATCATTTGGATCTTGAGACAATTGTAAGCATATGGCAAGACTCTGGGATTTCTGTCTCTGTTGCGCACAGCTGAAGTGGTGCCACTCCTCAGATGGCACGGGTCTAGCTGTTGAATTGACCACGGAGTGGCGCTTTCCTCCTCAGCCTTCTTGTGCCCTGTTTAAGTAATTGAGGGCTCACCTCAAAGCAATCCTCGCTTTCATGGGACTCATGCACAAATCTTTTTTTTTTTTAATCGTTTTATTAGGGGCTCTTGTCACGATCCATATGTACATCAATTGTGTAAGGCACATTTGTACATTCATTGCCCTCATCATTCTCAAAACATTTGCTCTCCACCTACGCCCCTGGCATCAGCTCCTCATTTTTCCCCTCTCTCCCCAGTGCCCCCTCCCTCATGAACCCTTGATAATTTATAAATTATTATTTTGTCATATCTTGCCCTGTCTGATGTCTCCCTTCACCCACTTTTCTGTTGTCTGTCCCTCAGGGAGGAGGTACCATGTAGATCCTTGTAATCGATTCCCCCTTTCCAACCCACCCTCCCTCCACCCTCCCAGTATCGCTACTCACACCACTGGTCCTGAAGGGATCATCCAGTTCCTATCTGTACCAGTGTACATCCTCTGGTCTAGCCAGATTTGTAAAGTAGAATTGGGATCATGATAGTGGGAGAGAAGGAAGCATTTAAGAACTAGAGGAAAGTTGTATGTTTCATCATTGCTACATTGCACCGACTGGCTCGTCTCCTCCCCGAGACCCTTCTGTAAGGGGATGTCCAGTGGTCTACAAATGGGCTTTGGGTCTCCACTCCGCACTCCCTGCCTCATTCACTATGATAATGATTTTTTGTTCTGATGATGCCTGATACCTGATCTCTTCAACACCTCGTGATCACACAGGCTGGTGTCATGCACAAACCTTAATTAGTCATG